TGGATATTAATGCAGAGACCCATAAGTAGTTAACATGCTGGGAAGAGAATGGTGTGTTCAGCTCTAAAGGGTGTATCTGTATTAGACCTTCTCCTAAGGCTCAAGGATTATCATGGAAAAGGAATGGAAAGATTGTAAGAGCTAGTGGATATCTACAATGAAATAATAATATTTTCTGTACATGACAGCTCTATCGCATACATGAAGTCACAGCCATTGTGACAGCACACATAAAATCCGCCCAAGATCAAGCCAAACAAAATTCCAGCATGGAGTGAGGAGGTGGTCAGCTCCCTTAGCTGAGGAACTAATAGCAATTGATAGCTGCTGGGAGATAGTGAGTCCGTTTCCTTGGGGATTTGTTCCCTAAGAGGCTACTCATGCTCCAGTAGACGACCCTATATCCATGCACATACTGGCAGCACTAAGCAGATTCAGTTGGCTAATAAAAAGTCACACGAAGTTGAGAAGGAATACTGATGGGAGACTTTGGGGAACAAATCAAGAGGGGAAAGGAATGGCGTGGGTTTGATGATTTACTTTTTTGTTTTTTCGGGACAGGGCTTCTCTGTATTGCTTTGGAGCCCAGGGGAATGGTACCACGCACAGAGGGCTGGGCTCTCCCACATTAATTAGTAACCAATACAATATCCCATATACACATGCCCACAGGCCAGTCTGATCAAGCCAAGTCTTTAATGGATGTCCCATCTTGCTGGGTGACTCCAGGTTTGTTCATTTGACAATCAAAATTACCCTGGACACTATTCTTTATCAACTTCACACATGAGCATATCACTGTTAAATCATAATATTTCCTTTCTTGTTTGTCTTTAAGATTTCCTGTTAATATGATAATATAGAATACAGTACAATTTTAGGGCTGGAGAGATGGCTCCGCTGTTAAAGGCTAGGCTCACAACCAAAATACAGTTCAATTTTAAAAGTCCTCTAGTCTTTAAAAATTCCAATGCTTTAAAAGTTCAAGGTCTCCATTTTGGGGCAACCCACAGAAACAACTGAGCTGAGCAAGTGGGAACTCACTGACTCCAGACTGACAGCTGGGAACTGCATAAGACCAAATGGGACCCCCTGAATGTGGGTGTCATTTGGGGGCCTTGAGTAGTCCATGTATGGGGCCTCTGGCAGTGGAACCAGTATTTATCCCTAGTGCACAAATGGGTGTTGGGAGCCCCTTCCCTATGGAGGGAGACTCTCTCAGCCTAGATACAGGGGGAGGGCCTTGGTCCTGCCCCAAATGATGTGACAGACTTTGATGATTCCCCCCATGGGAGGCCTCACCCTCCCTGAGGACTGGATGGTGGGGGTGGGATGGGAAGATGGTAGGGGGAGGGAACTGGGATTGTTATATAAAATAAGATTTTTTTTTTTTTTTTTTTTTTACAAAACAAGTTCAAGGGCTCTTTTCCGTGGGCTCTTGTAAAATTAAAAACAAGTTTAAGAACTTATTCCAAAAAAGAAGAACCAGAGCATCGGAGAAATCACTCTTAAGTAAGACCAATATCCACAGTGTAAGCTCAATGTTTGACATCTGGAACTCGCTCATGATCTTCTGGGCTTCAAAGGGCTTAGGTAACCCCATTTAAGATCTGCTATGTGTAGAAAACACACACACACACTTGTCTTGTAGACTTAGCCAGACTCCACTTCACATTTTCTACTACCCTTGGTGGACATCCCAGAACCCTGGAAGCTCTAATATTCTGGGGTCTCCCCTGCATCTGAGGCTTAACCCTTACCAGTAGCCTCTCAGAGTTTTTCTGGAGTAACTCCAAAACTGCCAGAAGGCACCATGTGTTAGCTGCTCTCCATAGCCCATTCATGCCTTCAAAGCAGTACCATAAAGATACTCTTACATCCTGACAAGTTCAGCTGTCAGCTTGAGATGCCAACTTGGCTCCCCTGAATCACAGCTTTTGTGTTCTGATTGTGAGAAAATACTTGTCAGAAGATTTCACTTCAATTATACTGATCTCTTGTTAATCACAGCTGCTTCTTCAGCCCCAGCTGTCTCATGCCCATTGTCTCAGTGGAACAGGTTTCACCTTAGTGAGACTGGTCTCTTGTTAATCACAGCTGATTCTTCTGCCCCCATCTGACCAGCAATCACAGTTTTTTAATCTAAAATACCACACAAATGACCTCAATAGTTTGCTTCTTTCTGAAATCTCACACTCCAAGCCTCCATTGTCTGTATGCCTCTCAATATTCTTACCTTTCACCTCCTCCTAGAACAGCCCATTAAGCTCTGAGTACTCATTTTTTTTTTTAAGTTTAAAGTGTCCAAATCCTCCACTCCTCCAAAAAAAAAAAAAATCGTCCAAAGGCAAAAAAGGCCATATGGTCAGATTTATAATGGCTACAATATCACTCCCAGTGCCAATATATGTTCTAGTTTGCTTTTCTGTTGCTGTAATAAAACACTGACCAAAAACATCTTGTGGAAGAAAGGATGTATTCAGCTTATACTTCCAGGTCACAAACCGCCATTGCGTAAAGTCAGGGCAGGGACTTAAACCAGCTGTGTGATGTTTTCATTTGTGGGCTAATTAAAATAAAATTATTTTATTTGTTAAAATAAGAAACGTATGATTGTTCAACAATGCTTACACAGCATGTATTCTACCAGTATCTTTTTGTTGCTGTTGATGTTGCTGTTTGTTTTGTTTTTTGAGACAGGGTTTCTCTATGTAGTCTTGGCTGTCCTAGAAATCACTCTGTAGGCCAGACTGGCCTTGAAGTCACAGAGATTCTCCTGCCTCTGCCTCCCAAGTGTTGGGAATAAAAGCAAGCATGACCATAGCCCCATTTTACCAATGTCTTGTGTCCAGAGTTGTATTAGAATACTTTACACACATGCTTCCAACATCAGAACATGTCTGGGTGAGTCCCAGAAAACGCAGCTGGCTGCTTTATCTACTCATTGAGCCATCTGCTCTTCCACCATCTACTCTTTCCTGCTTCTCTACCTAGTAGCAAAGCCGGCTAAATAACAACAGAATAAGAGCTTAGGGATGAGGAAACAGACTGGTGATGTTCACAGCCCAAGGCCAACTCAACAAGTTCTGGAGTCAACATCCGAAGTCACTCCAGTCCGTTTTCTCATTTCAGAACAAACTGGAGAAATTCATCTGGTACTTCATGCAATATAAACAAATTTTAGTGAACTTGGCTTTGAAAGATTAAAAGCACTTGTGTCATAGGAAAAATAGACATCACCAGCTATTCCTTGTTTTTTCTCACTCTCAGTCATGTCATTTACTGTCAGAATATGGGTAAGACCCTTTAAATGAAGGATGTGCAAAGAGTAGCAGCTGAAATAAAATAGGACAATCTACACAACTAAATCCTCTCTGAAAGTACTTCTTTGTTGCCTTTCTTCTCCAGGCTTTTGAACCTTAATGTAGTCATTTTGAAAGTGTCTAAGACATATAAAATTCTACCAACACATTATAGAAGTCAGCAGGACAGCCAACATTCATTTGGGTCAAGCCAACCTAGCCCCATCTCTAATCTTCTGGCAAATACAGAATCCCCAGTAAACCTCGATCAAATACAAATATTCCACAACTCTTCAGTCAAGATGCTCACATATCCAGACACATCATTAACCTAAACATTATTTCAAAACCTGAGACTAACCATGTGCTCTGACCCTTGAATAATGTCAAAATCACATCATTAAACTGAACGGCACTCAGTTTTGCAATAGTAGCCAGTGTATGAGCTTCTGTGGAATTCCCAGATTCTGGTGATTTGAAAGAATTCATGTAAGACACTGGGGCTTTCTGGGCAGAAAAGAAGGAGACTTTTAGAGTCATGTAGCCATTCAAGAATGACAGGATTGCAACAATGAAATTCGAAGAGAGAATCTCTTCTCTTCTGCCACTACTCAGACTCAGGCAAGGCAGAGTTCAGTGTGGGGAATTATAATCTTTGCTCTGTGATCTGGAGGTAGACACAGAAGGATTTCTAGTTCAAAGCCAGCATAAGATTTATAACAAGAGCCTGTCTCAAAACCAAAACCCAAACAAAGGGAATAGGAGGGGATAGGAAGGAGAAGGGAAGGAACCCAGAAAAGGAGAAAATCAGGCTCATTAATGTGTTTCAGTGCAAATTAATTTCCTGTTTTCCTTATGGACAAATCCCTGAGCACCATCCCCAATATCACATATACCAGGGATGGTGGACATAAACCTATAATCCCAGCACTCAGGATATAGAGATGGGAGACCATAGGGTCAGAAGCTCAAGGCCATCCTTGAATACATAGAGAATCTGAGGCCATTGAGGCCAGCCTGGGATACATGACACCATGTCTCATAAACCAACCAATAAATAAGTAGGTAAATATGCAACCAAACAAAAATACTGTGTTTACAGGATTCTGCTACTGTGTTATAAGAGGGAACCCATGAGAGCAGGGAAGGAAGCTAGTTAAATATATATATATATATATATATATATATATATATATATATATATATATATATATATGCACAAAGCATCTGGCAGGCCTGTCAAGTCCTTTAGTCATTTTCCCCTTCTTTAGCACTTTATTGGGAAACACCTTTTCCCAACACGGCTCCAGCCAAGAATGCTGCTTTCTACCTTGGATTAATTTACCACGATGCTGCAAACTTACTGCTTTCTCTTATTCCCATGGGGAAAAAGGTCATGGAGAACTGGAAGGGATGTGGCTGAGTATCTGCTAGGCTCTTGCTTCACTTCTTGAATTATCTGAGTGTTATTCGTGGAAAATGCTTATCAGTACATTGACAGTGTTTTGCAGCTTCTAGCTTCAGGCTGAAAATTACCAGTCAAATTCCTGCCTACCAGTCGCCACCTAGAGGGGAAAGCCAACCTTTACTCCAGAGTGTACTCAGGGTTTCTGAGAATGTATCTCCCAACCTTTCTAAAACCCCAAAGTGAAATTATTTGAATCCAAGTCCCATGAAATAGGATATATTACCCAATACCTTATGTGGGAAATGTGTCAAAGAAGGAACTATCACAAAGGCCACGATTCATGGGAAGTCTTCATGATGAGCACTGTGCTGTGGCATCCTAAGGTGGGGACACTGTCAGAGAGAAACAGGTACAAAGTCAAAAGAGAATGAAGTAATTTACAAATAAGTAATTCAACTGTTTATCATGTTCCCCATGGTCAGCTTACGAGGTTTACACAGTTGTACCCACACATTGCCACTCTCCCAGCTTTGTGCCTGCTCAACTAACGATTCCAGATATTGTTATGTAAAAATCACATACATAAATTAGTTTTGACTGTCAACTTGTTATAGCCTACGGTCATCTGAAGGGAAAGCATCAATTGAGGAGTTGACTAGGTCATACTGACCTATGGGTATGTCTGTGGGGATTTGTCTTGATTAGTAATTAATGTAGGAGGGCCCAGCCCACTGCTGGCAGCAGCATCCCTAGGCAATAGGTCTTGGGTTATGTAAGAAAGCTAGGTGAACATAAGCTTGTGAATGAGCTAGCAAGCAAGTGACATTCTTTTATGGTTTCTGCTTCAGACTTCTGCCGTGGGATCCTGCCTTAACTTCTGTCAATAATAGATTGGGACCTGGCAGTATGCCAAATAAACCCTCTCCTCCCCTAAGTTGCTTTCTGTCACAATGTTTTATCTCAGCAACAGAATGAAAGCAGAGTGGTTAGCTATCCCATCTCTTTAGGGATTTCTGGTTTTCTTTTCCCTTGGTTGAATCTCCTGTGTAGCCCTGGTTAGCCTGAATTCACTATGCAGCCCAGGCTATCCTGGATTCACTATGCAGCCCAGGCTGGCTTTGAGCTCACCATCATCTTTCCTCACCCTCTTAATTATTGGAATTACAGGCCAGAGACATCATGCCTAGCACTTTTCTTTTTCCTCAAAGAACATTACCCTTTTAAAAAAGAGTATTACTCTAGACTATTATAAGAATGAACACTTAGCATGAAAAGCTCTGCACAAAGCTTTTTAAAATTGTTTCTTCAAAATATACTATGTCAAAGGTCAGGGATAATGGTATACAGCTACATTACCTATTGTCAAATTGGTCCCCTGAAACACCAAGCCAAAGGATCAGGCCATCAGCATTGCCATGCCTGATTCCGTTCCAGTCCCGCTCACACTAGAACATTATCATTTTAGGTATGAAGCCCTTGCTAGTATATTTTGGCACCCCGAAGAACCTTTAATTTGCATTTAATTTTATGTGGGCTGAAGCTCTGCCAACATGAGATTCATATTCAACTGCCGATTCATTGTCTCCAGTGGAATTTTTCCTTGGCATCTCAGCCAAACAAGTGCAGGAGAATTCCTAGTTCCCATCCCCAAACCTGCCCTCCACTTCACACTAGCTCCTTCCCACCCAGTAATTATCACTTCTCTGAGTATAGGCACCTCCACCCAGGGGATCTGGCTGAAAATCTAGAGTTACCCTCCCTTCCTCTCCATTCAACCCCTTCACTTCAAATACATATTCCAATCCTAATTCCCCATTGCTGCTACCTTCTAGGTCTAATCCCTCATCACCCTAGCTTCAATCATTTTGGAAGCTTTCTAACTAGCCTTTCATCTTCCATCTTTACCCTAGATACATGCCAGTGTGATTTAAAATAACATTTTTTTTTTTTTTTTAGACAGGCATGCACACTATAGCCCAGACTGGGCCTAAAATTCAAAGTTTAACCCAGGCTGGCCTCAAACTCACAGCAATCCTCCTACTCTCAGTAAAGCCCCTTGAGTGCTGGGATTTCCTATATGCCACCATGCCTGACTTAAAATACCCTAAGCCAAATCATGTCAGATATCTGCTCAAAATCCTTCAGTGGTTTTAAAGGAAATCTAAACTTCTTACCTTTGAAATATGGTCTCAGCCTGCTTCCTTCAATTAATGTCACTGCCTTGTCCCCTCCTAAATTTCCCCTCCATCTCAGTTCCACTGGCCTCTTTACTGGAAACAAGTGCATTATGTATGCCGCTTAGGGCTTTTCCACCTTGTCTCTCCTTTAGAGTATGTTTCCCCCAACAAAGATGTCTTCATGCCTGGCTCCTTTGCCTTTTGGATTTGACACAAATGTCTAGTCTCTTCCTCAGAGATGCTATCCCTGAACAGTCAAAAGAGCACTGCTCTCATAACATCAATGCTACCCAATCATAATGTGTATTCATCAACTTGACTTTATATCTCCTTTCCTTCCTTCCCTCAACTATAAGTTTCATAAGAGCAAGAATGTCATGTCTGCTTTACCAGTACTGCCTCAAGGGCCTAGAACTGCTGGAAGACAGGAGAAAATAAGGCTAGAGCTAAGTAATACCTGTAGGTATTACTTCTGTATTTAGCATGCTGACAGCAGCATCTCAAGGCCAACAGTGTGATGGTAATGCCGGTTAGCATGTTCTACAGTTAGTAACACTAATTAACACTGAGGGTAATTCAGGTATACCTACCAATCACCTACTCAGTTAGACACACTGGGGGCTGGAGTGAGGAGCGCTAATGAGTTCACCCTCAAAGAACTGAGTCTAAAAAGAAACAGAAATTAGGACAAATGACTGGACTCTGATGGCAGAAAATGCCATAAGAGAACCAGAACACTTTGTGCCACAGATTAGCAATGAAATTATTATCATTTGTTCATATGATGAATGTTAGACTTGAGACTATGCTTTGTAGGTTTTAAATGTGCTACTATTGCTCCCTTCAAGAACAATAAGAACAGTTTAGTTGTCATAAAAACTGCCCTAGGGAAGAGCATCATCACTATTTGGTAAGCTAAACAGCCTGCAGTTCCTGGACAGACTTGCAAAATACTGTCCAATGCCAAGACAGACGTGGCATAAACCTATCGAGAACATAGAATGTTTACAGGGCTAGGAAGATGATTCTGTGAGAAAAGCACACAAGTGGTGAGGATATGAGTTCAGATCCCCATAAGCCATGTATGCCTGGACAAGTACTATGTGTCTATAACCCCAATGTTTCTATGGTGAGATGAGAGACAGAGACAAGAGACTGCTCACAAGCTAAGGCCAGATGCCTAAGGTTGTCTTCTGACTGTCACACATGTGCCGCAGCATGCTTGTATTCTCTCACACACATGAACAAACATGTACATCATATACACGCAAAAGATTTAAATCTTTCAGAGATTTCTAGATTGATAATTTTAGCATGCTATTTTTTAAAATATTTTTTTTTTATTTTTTTGAGGTTACAATATAATTACATCATCCCCTCTTCCCTTTGCTCCCACCAAACTAAGCATGCTATTTTTAATTGTTTTTCTTCTGTTTTTACCTTGAACTGTTTTTTGTTTTTGTTTGTTTGTTTTTTTTAACATTCTGAACCAGATCCTATATTCATTCAGTATGTAACAGAAAGAAAATGGGAGCCTAAGAAAATAATAGACAATAAATATTCAACAGAATGTGTCATAATATAACAAGGCCTGTGGAAAGAAGCTGCCTGTGGTTGATGCTCAGTTCCTGACAGGCTACTCTTCCACAATGATATCTGCAGCATCCCTACATGCTACGATTATATTCATTTAATATAGCCGGTGCTGTGGGAGGCTGGTTGACAATTTCCTGATTACATGGTAAGGCAAGAAGATAATATTGAATTGGAATCTTCCCAGGTGGGGTTTGTTTCCCTTGGGCAAGAGTCCAGGGACTGCAAAGCTACCAGGAATGAGGTACAGAGACTGGACAGGAGAAACAGCACTCAGCTCCCCCCCCAGCTACATGAGTCCATTCTGGAAAACTCAGTCTTTAGTGAGTGAAACCCAGACCTTCTAGAATTTCAAGATAAGCTAAAAATCTTGGCTTTTACCAAGATGTTCAGCTTTTCAATGGTGACTTTCCCCCAATTCAATTGCTTTTTCAAGTAGTAAAGGCTCACATCTTTAACCCCAACACTTAGAAAGCAGAGGCAGATGGATCTCTGTGAGTTCAAGCCCAGCATGGTCTACATGTTAATGCCCTGTATCAAAAATTAAAACCAAGTAGTATGGGCTAAAGCCTACTTATTAAGGCCTGGATTTAATTCAAGGCTCCTAGCTTCCTCTTCCTGTACACTAGACCCAAGAATCTGCTCAATTGTATATATTTGGTATTCCCTAAGGGTTTTGGAATATCAAAAACAATAATTAAGTATACTCACATCTGAAGAAGACCCTCAAAAAAAGGGGAGAGAGAGAGAGGCTCAAAGATCCAGGGAGGTCCCACCAGATAACTGGCTTTACTTTTATAATATTCTTCCTTGCTCACAGAGTCTCAAATGCCAGGCTGAGATCAAACACTGAGTGGGTAAAGCATTTCCATGCAAGAGGGAGGACCTGAGGTTAGATCTCCGGAACCCACATAAAGCCAGGCATGGTACCACATGTCAGTTCCGGGTTAGCTAGTCCAGGGTTGAACAACAAAAGACTATCTCATACAAGGTGGAGGTGTGGACAGACAACTGAGGCTGTCTCCTGGCCTCCATACATTTGCTGTGATATGCACATGTATTCACACATGAGATAAATAATTTCTCAGCATCCTCAATTACTTTATCAAATCATAAATTCCCCTCAAGGCACTAAAAACAATACCCTCCCCACCTCCGCAGCCCTAATCTGCATCATAACCTGATGCTCACTTCCCTGCTCTAGTTGAACCAGTCTTCCTTGAGATCACCTTCTTCATGAAACCTTTACCGTGACAGAAAAAAAAAAATAACAGCAGCTATAACTCTCTTCAAGCACAAGCAGCTCTGGGTTTCAATCCCACCTCTGCCAACGGGCAGCTAGGGGATTTTCTTGGGTTTGTTACCTATGTGGCGTATCCCTTATCCAAATTGAGTGTCTATATATAAAGGAGATGCCTTGAAGGTGAGACCCAAGTAGAAACACAGCTCGTTCATGCATCACATGCATGTTTTATGTGAGCCTCAAGGTAGTTTTATACAATATTCTTAAAGCAGCTTCATTTTACAGCAGCTTATCACATGAGTGCATATGCGGACTTTTCCACTTATGGCATCATGATAGTATTCAAAAGGTTACAGATTTTGGAGTGTTTTAGATTTCAGATTTTTGGATTCAAGATACTCAACACCTTATAGTGAATAGTGCCTATCTTACAGGGATTTTTCCTTCTTTTTATCTTTTGTGTGCATAAGGCAAGGTCTCATGTAGCTTAGGGTAGCTTCCAACTCTCTATCCAGCCTTAGTTCTTAATTAAGAATGGCCTTAATTCTTCTGTTTCTACATACTGAGTGCTGAAATAATAAGCGTGAACCACCATGCCCACTCTTTTCTCATATATATATATGGAAATCATATGAAATGATGCAAATCAAGTACTTAACCCCAAGTAAGCACTCAATTAATGAGCCATTATTATTATTATTATTATTATTATTATTATTATTATTATTATTGCTACTCAATTTTTACTAGCCTTCCTTCTCTATGTGCTGCAGTCCTTACACTGCCTGATCTGACAAATACCCACTGGATTCCATGCAGTCATGTTTTTGACAGCTGTGGCCCAGGTGTTAGCCTGTCTCCATCTGCAACTGAGCTTAAAAGCTCCTTTAAAGGCCATGAGTTATGTTGGAAGCAACAACAACACAGCTCTCTAGACCTGAATGGACATTGAACCAGAATTCTTCAACTCCTACCACCTCTAAAAGAAGTCAAGAAAAACTCTTTTCTCAGAGGTAATGGCCTAGGAGGGAGGAAGAATCAGTTTTCTTTAAGGGTCTACCATGCTCCAGTGAATAGTTCCATACCCATAAATATATAGATAGCACAAACTACACTACATGAGTTATTTTTTAAGAGAGGACATGATGTTGGGGGTAACCCAAGAAGAATTTGGGGAAGGAATGGGGGTAAATATAATTAAAATATTTTGTATGCATGTATGAACTCCTCAAATGATTAATAAAAATATTATTTAAAGGATTCTATAATTATGGTAAGATTTTTTTTCCATCCTGAAAAATAAATTTCCTGTCTCTGGTAAAAGCAGGGGTGCATACTGGGAAAACAAATGCACAGCTAGTCTCAGCAGAATGCTACTTCAATATCTCTCTCTCTCTCTCTCTCTCTCTCTCTCACACACACACACACACACACACAGACAGACAGACAAACACACACACCATCACCACCATTTTGTATTGCCTGATCTTCAAATCCACATTCCCTAAGCCCCGGGCCTCACCATTTTTCTGATGCTGAAGATGACACATGAAGCCAGCAAAAGGCTATACCTAACCTGAATGTATGAGAGCAAAAATAGACAAATGGGCAACACGTCAGGTGTGATGTTCGGTTAAGAATCCATTGACAAGCTTGGGTTTGGCTATTGCAGAAGATGGTCTCTGCATGCCCTACCCACTGCCTTATGATTCCTCTTAAGTCAGCCCCATTCATGTTCACATGTGTGCAGCAGCTGGCATTCCCTGGGCACTGGTGCCTGGAGGGTTATTCCACTGTTCTGTGTGCCTCAGGACAACTGAAGTAAAATTACTTTCATGTAAGTTACCCCATCCTTCTAGTTACTCCAGCCTTTTGAGAAGACACACTCCACACACAGGAATAAAAAAATTAATAAATAACAGGAACACACACACACACAAAATGTGGCTACTCTGATTTAAGAAAAATGTTTACAATTTTTAAAAGAAACAGAATTTGAGAGATCCCAACTACCTTTTTACAAATGTAAAGTCATTCCTCACAATTATATTGCACAACCTTACATTCTTTCAGCAATATGAGATTTCAAAGTCAGATCTGAGGCAGGAAGAACACCAGGCAAAATGGGCACCATCTTTGAGACCCTGTAGCAAATAATAGGGCCTGGGTTTGTCACCATGCTGGATTCCAGGTTTCTAAATAACATAACTCACCCCTTAGAGTTAGTGGCATTCAAAAGTGCTCTAGTAGTAATTTGCTTCAAGTAAAATCACAATAAGCAGGTGATAAATGTAAAGAAGGTACCAGTCCCAGTGAACAACACGCTCAGGGATAGCAGTAACCACAGCATGAGTCTCCCTGAGCCTTCTGCCCATCTACCCAAGCTCCAGACTCTGCACTCCAAAGGCTTGGAGGGTGAACCTGCTTTCTTGGTCAAATTAGAAGCAGTTTAATTCTACCCACCCTAGGGACGTCAGGCTTAGATTCAAGCCCCCAAAGCCAAAGCCCTGGTGGTCATCAGAGGGCAGAGGTGATGGTTAAGCGGATGAATGTTATGGGAACAGGTTGAGAACCTGAGCCCTTGGCTTATGCATCCAGCAGGGGGGACATCCTTCAGCTTTCCTAAACAATCTAGTGCACCCTAAGGGAAAGCTTCCAATGACCTCGGCTGCAGCATCGGCCACAGCGCCCCCTAGTGCGGCACCAAGACCCGAGTGAGCAGCCTGGGGGATCCAAGAGGAAAACCTAGGGACATCACTAGAAAACCTGACTCCAGCTAGAGCAGGCCTGGCTACCCGAGTCCTCTAGAAAGCCCCTCCCCAGTGCTCATTCAGGGTCCCACGCGGCCCTGCCTGCCAGGTACTCTGGTAGGCCAGGGCGGCCGGCCAACAGGGACACAGAAGGACGCGACCGCCTGGTCGATTAGCAGAGCTAGGTGCTTTTACCGGCGCCTCGGCAGCAGCTGTACCTCCACGCTTGGCTCCTCTGGGATAGCGGAACCGCCACTGCTCCTGCAGCCACCTCCCTCCAGGCGCCGCAGTGTCAACCATCAATGCTCCTGGTCGCTCTCTGTGACTGCTGCGGGTGAGGCCAGCTGTTGAATGGCTCCGGCGAGAAAGCAAGGCAGGCGCGCGTGCTCGTGCCAACGCCCGGTGGGCGCCTCGCCCTGTGAGCTTCCTGGTGGATGCTTCCTGGATTCTGGCTGGGGGCTGAGCGGTGCGAGCTCACGCGCTACAGCTCGCTCCCCTAGGTGGGTTCCTGCGCGGAACCAATTGCTGCCCCTCGTGAGCTCCACCCCCTTCGCTTTCATCCCTCAACTTGCCGGCAGAACCAATGGCAACCACCGACTAGACCCGCCCCTTGGATTTCCCCAGGGCCAATCGCCTTCTCCTGAGCAAACATTCAAGTAACCACCACCACCACCACCACCCCGCCCCTCCCGTGCAGCAAAGCTAGGGCCAAAGTTAATACCATAGGAAGGTCCAGACCAGCTCAAGATTTTGCCCGGGTTACTTATCCCCCCAATTATGGAAATTAGACACTGTAAACAGTACAACCACGACCACCACCAGCAGCACCAGCACCACCACCACCATGCTATTTCTTTCAAAGAAATTAGTATAAGAAAGCTAGCCAAGACTGAGGAGATGCAAGAATGAAGACCCAGATAGGTTCCTGGCACAGATATAAAAGCTGGAATGTGACAAAGTGGATCTATAATACCATTGCTGGAGGAATATAGATAGGATAGGAGGTAGAGATAGGTGACTTCCTGGACTTTGCTGGCCAGCCAGTGTAGCCAATTTGTGAGTTTCAGGTTCAGTGAGAAGGCCAGTTGTTGAATATAATTTTAAGATACATTTGTTTATGCTGTGAGACATTTGTTTAATGATGCAAGGATGTGTTGCATTCTTTTATGCTGCATTTGTTTAACTCTATGAAGCTGTGTTACTGTGCCTGTCTAAAACACCTGATGGTCTAGTAAAGAGCTGCAGGGCCAATAGTAAAGGCAGGAGCAAGGATGGGTGGGACTGGCAGGCAGGGAGAATAAATAGGAGAAATGTGAAGAATATGGAGGCGCCAGAGAGAAGGAAAGAAGGAATCCAGGAGGAGCCAGCCACCCAGCTACACACAAGTCACAGAGTAAGAAGTAAAGAAAAGTATACAGAAATTGAGAAAGGTAAAAGCCCAGAGGCAAAAGATAGACGGGTTAATTTAAGAAAAGCTGCAAGAAACAAGCCAAGGTATGGCTAGACAGTCATTAAATAATGATAATCCTCCATGTGTGATTATGTTGGAGCTGGAGGGTGCCCCCCCAGAAGCATAAAGAGTCAAAAAGTTAAAAAAAAAATCAACAACACTCTGTCTCACAAAATACGGTAGACAACAAAGAAGACACCCGACACTGGCCTCTGATCTGCACACACTTGCACACATGCACACATTTTTTAAAGAGAGAAAAAGCAGCCTGGAAGCCTGGGTAGAGTGTTACCCACCATTATATCTGAGAACCAGCCACTCATTTGACCCATCAAAAAGTCAGTGAAAGAACTTGCACTGGTTGTATGTTTATTTTCTTCTTGCTGTCCATTGTTCCAGTACAGGAACCCAGCCTTTATAAGCTGGGAAACTTCCAGGGACCAGTCACTAAGATTCTGTGGCCCTATGATGGCCACTTGGGCCTCTGGCAGTCTGGCTTGAGGATAAGCAATGCCAGCCTTGCCTGTCCTCTCTCTATGGTGATCTAAGAATTCGAAGACTATTCTCCTGGCCTACTGTTTCAGGCTCTGCTGTTCAAAGACACAAATTAAGGTTCTTCTCTGAGTGCAAGCTAATTGCTGTAAATCTTTGGAAAGTAGACACCAAGAACTGATTTGCCCTCCCTTGTTTGCTCCAGGCACGGAGAAGGCCAAAGTGGTCACAACCCTTGCCTAGAGGACCTTTCTTTAAGTTCTTCAAATTAGCATTCACTTTCTTGAAAGACAAGTCGCAAAGCTGACATTTATTAGATTTACTGTGAACCTCCTTGGGGGAGGTTCTCACAGTAGGAGCTGTCATGGGGCTGTTTTCTGCCTGATTGCCTAGTGTGTTTGTGTGGTGTGTGTGTGGGGGGTAATGTTAATTTCACTCTAATCTGTCAAGACCCCTGCTGTTCATTCTGTCCTAAATAAATCTTCACCTCTGTTTGATGTTCAGTTCCATCCTCTTTACACAATTACCACAGCACCCCTGAACTGGCCAACTTGCCTCTAAACTTGTATGCTCCTGGCTAGGAAGGCTGCCAACACTCCTTTCCTTGTCCATTTCACAGCAGAAGCCAAACCTCTTGCTCTAAATTACCACTGCATCGAAACTTAAAGATCCACCACAGATGCTAAAGTTTTTCCACTCCCCTCTTGCCCCCACTGCTCTCAGAATAAGGTCGCAACCCACTGCACAGCATGTAAAAACCTGGTCATCTGGCTTCACATGACCAACCTCATTCCTACCTATTCATTCCACTGCCATCTCAGAGCACTCTATACTTAACTAAACTGAAATTCCTGTTGTTTCTCCAGTGAGCTATAGTCTCTATCATGCCTTTTATACAAAGTCTAGACTAGTCTAACTTGATCCCTATCCTCCTCTGCCTGACCTACAACTCACGCATGAATCTTTTCATTCACTGTGCAAACATGTCATGCACACTGACCATGTGTCAAATATTCAAATATAAAATATGTAAGATTAAATTAGCATATAGGATTTAGAGTTGAATATCCCCATGTCTTAGGTATGAAGTACATTTTGTGCATTGCTTTTCTTGTAAGATACAAACAAATACAGATGTGTAAGAGTAGATGCCTCCCAGGAGGGAGGGCCTAGTCCCTACTCCAAACTACTTGACAGATTTTGATGACCCCTCCAGGAAGGCCTCACCCTACAGTGGAGTGGGGGGGGGAATGGGATGGGAGGGTGGTCAGGGGGGCCTGGGAGGGTGGAAGAGAGGGAGGGAGGGAGGGAAGGACGGAGAGGGAACTGGGATCAATACGTAAAATAAGAAAAATTAATTAATTAAAAAGAGTAGATGTCTCTACTAGAAGCCCCTGAGTACTGCGTAAGAAAACAAAAATCCTGCTTTCTTAGCATTGGCAAACAGACAATCAAGGCTGCTAATTGGTTTTGGTTGCTGAGGGCTGGAAATTCAACTGGAGACTTCACACATGCCATCCAACCACCCAACTATACAAGCACACACACACACACACACACACACACACACACACACAGCTCAGTACCTTTGGACTTCAGATATGATCAAATGAATGAAAGGTTGGGGAAAATGAAGTGGCTTTTCTTTCTCCTTTGTTGAGTACCACTGAATGATATTTTAAATCATTTCACTAAGTTTGGCCCTTTGAAGGCAAGAGATTATAGCCTTTTTTATATGCACTTCAAACTTTAAAACACAACCTATTAAAATGTTGCGTGTTGCTTTTTATCTCTTTGTGTGTATCATATCAAAATAAGAAACTGATAACATGCTGTAGCAAGCACATGAACAGGAATGTATGTTGTCAAAATGAACCAATTACAACCTTGAAATTACAGAGCTTTGGTATTAAATAGGATTTTAAAATTAATTTTATCAAAACTCAGATGCTTAAACTATCACTGTATAATAGATTTTCATGTTCTTTGGCCTCTAAAAGCATACTTTATTTTTACTGTTAAAACAAATGGAGTCTACACATCTGGAATAATTTGTGGGCTGCCACAGATGTTCCTCTGTCCATTCTTTTCTTCTCCATACTTTGAAATATCCCTTTTCCAAATTTTAATCCCACTTCAAAGAATCACATTGTAACACTAGCTAATTATAAACATTTGGATAAGGAAAGGAACATGGATTGATGGGAAAAATTTAAAGGTACTTGTATTGAATCGATGTTTTCAAAGTTTTTTCTTTTCTTTTAGCATATTTTATCTACACAATAACCTAGGTAAATAAATACCTTGCTTTTCATTTTACAGGGGGGAAAGCTACCATTATTTAGGGTATTGGAACTATTGTTCTGTCATTAACCTTGGGAAGTGTGCCCATGTCATTCTGGGACTCAGTGTCTCTCCAAGGATCTTTTTGGGTTGTCTATATTCTGTTCCCTCCTGCCTCCTGAGCTTGAGACACTGGGACATGGGGGTGAGTAGACATTTTAATGGGGATAGGAAGTCATTCTGGTATCAGCAGTACTTCTAGCCAGGGCAGGTACTGGTAGAATTCGAATACAGACATCACAGGAGCAGTGAGAAGCAGGAAAGAACATGGGAATCTCAGACAAGAAGCTCTGAACTCAAAATTCAGCTGTCCCACTTCAAATCTGATCCCCAAACTAGAACTTGTTGGCTTTACTGACCTATGAGTCTTCTAAGCAAATTTTGACTTACTGACCTAAGAGTCTTCTAAGCAAACTTTGATTTAAGAGTACTTTGGCAAACTATTTGATCATCTTCAGACAATAGTAATCAAAATAAATTATACTTAGCTATCTATTGAGCATCCTCTGCTTATTTTGTGTAGTAATGAGGAAAGAGAAGAAATCAAGGCCTTAAACTGGCCTTCCCTGTAATCAGATTGGTGACTACCCTGTCATCATAGAATCTTCATCCAATAACTGAAGCAGAGGCAGAGATCCACAGCTAAGCACTGGGCCAAGCTCCTGGAGTTCATCTGAAGAGAGGGAAGAGGGATTATGTGAGCAATGGGGGGTCAAGATCATGATGGGGAAACAGTTGACCCAGTGTGGGAGTTCCTGGACTCTGACAGTTGGGGGGCCTGCATGAGACTGAACCAGGTGCTCAGCATGTGAGTGACAGCTTTGTAGCCTGGTCTGCTTGTGGGAACTCTGGCAGTGGGACCAGGATCTATCCCTAGTGCCCGAGCTGGCTTTTTTTTTCCACACCTTCAAAGAAAAGACAGGTTTATTCAGCAGCCTCCAGCACATAAAACGAGAATATACAGCTTACTAGTTCAACAATTTCCAAAGTAAGCATTGTAAAAATGATTTTCAAAGCAAGAAAAAAATTAGGGTTATGATTTATGGCTCAATTAAAGTAGATAATCCACTGATACTTGAACAAATAACAAGTTT